TCAGGGGTTGCCACAAAGAAGAGGGAGTCAAGCTATTCTCCAAAGCACCTGAGGTAGGTAGGACAAGAAGCAACGGGTGGAAACTAATCAAGGAGAGAAGCAATTTAGCACTAAGGAGAAATTTTCTGACAGTTGGAACAATTAATCAGTGGAACGACTTGCCTCCAGAGGTTGTGAATGCTCCAACACTGGAAGTTTTTTTTTAAACAAGTTTTATTAAATTTTTCTTTCACATGCATATTTTATGAGCAGAGTGTTGACCGGGTCACATCTTATAACAGTTATATATTGAATTTTATAATCTATTCCAATCTTTCTTTTTATTTTTTCCAAGTACAATTTACAGATCTCAATTTCAGCCATAATATTCTTTTTCCCAACTTCTTTAATCTCTTCTTAATACATAATATATAAACAGTATCACCATCCGCCCTTCGATTCCTAATTTCTTAGCATAACATCAATTAATTATCTTATTTCTCCATTTATAAAATATATTTCTCAGAATCCCCATCACACTTTTTGGCTACATACAATGTACTTCATCATATTCAATTCTTACATTGACAGCCTTTAACTTAATTGACCTTCCACATCTTATCTTAATCTCTTCTTAGTACATGATAAGCAATATCACTATCCGCCCTTAATTCCTGATTTCTTACTATAGCATCAATTAACTATTTTATTTCATCATTTACAACATATTTTTTCAAAATCCCCATCACACTTTTTAACGTTTCAATTTTGTCTTGATTTCAGTTATTTTCGTAATTAAACCAAATTGCCATTCCATATTTCATCTGCTGTTCTATTTTACAATAAACAATATACATCATCAGATTTGCTTTTTACATTCACAATTAATAATATTAATACAGTTCCCTCAGATCTACTAATATATACCTTATTTCCCTTCCTCCTTTACACTATTCTTCCCCTTTTAACCATTTTCTCGTGGTCTCTGAAATTCCACTTCTTAATACTTTTCTCCTTTCATCCCATTCTCTTAACTTCTTTTTCTTTTTTATCTTTTTATATTTATTGTATCTTTTCTTCTGTTTTGGGTCTGTTACTCGCATAATTCTCCCCAAGCCTTTTCCTAATCTTTTTCCATTTCCTTCTCTTCCCTTTTGGGGGATATTCCCCCCTATCTACTCTTTTTTTGCCACTGTAAATCCCAGTATAATCATCTAACTTTTTACATTCAATTCCTTTTCCTTCAACATTATTTTCTTGCTTCTTGTTTATATTTTCTTTTTCCTGTTTTGAGTGTTCTAGCAAAATTTCTGACTTTTTGTTGCCCTTTAATGATTCACGCATGTTTTTAAATATCTCAATTAATTCCTCACACATCCAAGACTCTATATTATCGATTTATCTTGGACTTACTTTTTTTATGTGATCGGAAGACTAATCAATCAATAAACTATCTACCTACTAACACATGTGATTATTTTAGGGCACTGTTTGGACTTTTTCATTGACAAGCACCTCATTAGGATGGCCATGATGCCTTGAATGACCTCGATGGGGACATATAATCACCAATGAAATTTGATTCCAGTGTGGGGCCAGATCAAACTACACAAAAACCTCTGTGCACACAGATATCATAGAGCACCATGGTTTACCAACGAGCTCTGAGAGATGATAGGGCACAATGATTATAATATTGCATTCCCTGCTGACATTCTTCGCTCATAACTCCCAGCAAATCACCCAACATTGAAGAGGCAGCATAGCAGAACTGGGTGGGTTGGGGGGTTTCAATGCTACCAGATCAAAAAAAAAATTGAATAGGGAAATCTACAAAGCCGCAGGAGATTGAACATATAGGATCAAACACAACGACACTAAACCTACATTAGAAATATTGAAAATTTCAGTGAGAAGGAATAAAATGAGAAAATGTACTCCTTGAAATAATAAATCTTTCACAGGAAATTTTATTGGGGGCTTTTATTGGGGACCGGGCCTTGTTGGGGACAGTTGGAAGACATTGAAAATAAAAGGATGGTTGATTGTTGCAGACAACAAATACATTGTGACCAGTCAGAGCACTTGATAAGGTGTTATTTAATATTTTAAGTCCCATGCTAAAAGTAATGAACTTGGCTTCATTAAAGCTGTCAGGCAATTTCCTAGCCAGAAATACTATCATGAAACTGATGAGAGCCAGAAAACCCAGGTAGGCAAGGACAGCATAAAACATTGAAGCTGAGTCTTCATTAAATTCCAAGATGGCCTCTCCTACCAAGGAATGGAAGTCCATGTTGGGAAATGGGGGAGAAGTTACCAGCCAGGTGGTACAAAGAACTGCCTGGACCAGGGGACAGGCTAAGACAATGGAGTTGGGCAGAGATTTTCCTAAGAGTTTCCTAGTCTTGTTCCCTGGTTTGGTAGCCATAAAAGCCAGAACCACCATGGAGTGGAATGGAGACAGTTTTTGCCAAGACAGAGGAAACTGCAAAAGAAAAAAGAATGGCAAAGGCAGTTTGTCGGAGAGACAGGTGAGCTTTGTGGGTCAACCAATGAAGAGAAAAGTGCAGAAGAAGCAGAGCAGGAGGGAGACCAGGAGGAGGTAGGTGAGATCTCGGTTGTTGGCCTTGACAATCGGTGTGTCACAATGTTTATGGAATATCACCAGGACCACAGATGTGATCACAGAGAGAGAAAGCGCTAGAGAAACTCTCTTGCTCTCTTGATAGGCAAGGAAGTGGATCTTCTTGACAATGCAGTGCTCCTTGGCTTGTTGGGATATTGGTCATCTGGGCAGGGGTCACAACGAGTCACATCTGAAATCAAGATAAAGTGATAAGATGAAAGTTTTTGTCTAAGGTTTTCAGAGGGATTTCTCATGAGTATTACCCTTCCCTCAGGGGAGATGTGATTCTCCCCTTTTTCTTGTGGCCAATCCACAAGTGTGTTGATAGAATGACCCACTCAGCACTTAGGATGACCCTGGCATATGTCAGTTAGAAACAAGTATCAGTCATTCAGCAGGCCTTCAAGGTCATGAAAAGTTCCTCAGGAAACACCCAATGTCCCTGAGATGACACCCAAGTGGATGGCAGTGTTGGATGGCAATTTCTGTACTTCTTTATCTTATCTAGAGTGTGCCATCTTGTCTGGGTGGTGTGTGCCAAAGCTTCTGGGTAGAGAAGCGGACAATGTAGCAACCATAGAAAGATAAATGTCAAAGTGTGTTGGGGGTTCCCTCTTGCTTAGAGGGGCCCATCTTTATTCAGCTGAATAAACATGTAAAACCTATCGAGGCAAATACCTGGAGTCTGCCTTTATTTATACTGAGCCACACCTGAAACCAGCAGAGACAGAGAGGGGAGGGAGGGAGAGAATGGAATGGAGTGGAGTGGAGTGGAGTGGAGTGGAGTGGAGTGGAGTAGAGTAGAATAGAATAGTTCATTGTTTATTCGTTTATTTATTAAAGGAAAGAATTAGAAAACATACGTGGATGGATCTTTCTCACAGTTCTAATCATTTCCAGGGAGATGGATAGTACTGAAAGAATCATAAATAACAAAAATTAAAGCTTGAACCATACATCCCACAACTTCAGGAAAACATTGCTGGTTAGTTTTTCCAAAGGAATACGAGAATGGAAAGGACAGTAAGGAACAGTTATAACTTTAAAAAAGCCAACTATGATCTCATAGACCCGTGATGGTGAACCTATGACACACGTGCCACAGGTGGCACACGTAGCCATATCAGTGGGCACGCCAGCTCAGCTCTGGTGCACATGCGTGCACTGGCCAGCTGATTTTCAGGCCTTCTGGGCCCACCAGAAGTAGGGAAATAGGCTGTTTCCTGCCTCCGGAGGGCCTGGGGGGTGGGGTGGGCAAGGCCCGTTTTTCTTTCTCACCTGGCTCCAGAACCTCTGTATGCATCTGGGGAGGGTGAAAACAGCCTTTCCCACTCCCTCGGAAGCCCTCTGGAGGCCTGAAACGGCCCATTTCCCAACTCCTGGTGGGACAGGAAGTGACTTTTTTTGCTGTCCCCAGCCTCCAGAGGCTCTTAGAGAGACTCAAGACAATTTTCTTTTTTGCTTCTTAACTGCCACATATTTTAGCTGGGGAAGTTGGGAGGGGGTTGTTGTTGGAGCAATAGAAAGTTAGTCATAACAATATTCCGTATTCAAGGACTTTTGCCTGCGTCTGATGGAGACTGCCTGAAGATTGTATCTAGTGGAGTGTGAAAAGTTGATTGGACAATGTGATGAACCTGTGGGGGTGGGGCATGGCTGTGAACATGACATCTCTAATAAATTGGAACTTTGAGGAATCTCAGGCCTCAGAGCTTTATTTTGTTGGGGATGTTCCTTGGAACCCTGACACAATGGCTTTTCTTCATATGTCAGAAACGGAAAAACAGGTTTCTGTCTCTTTCTGTTAATCCATAGAGCAAATGGTGCCTGGTGGCTCAGCAGACTGATAGCATTGTGATTAACACCAGCTGTCTGCAATTACTGTAAGTTCGAATCTCACCAGGCTCAAGGTTGACTCAACCTTCCATCCTTTCAAAGGTAGGTGAAATGAGGACCAGTTTGTGGGGGCGATAAGATGACTTTGTATAAATATACAAAAGTATGAAAGCTATTGCTTAACGCATTGTAAGCCGCCCTGAGTCTCCGGAGAAGGGCGGCATATAAATAATTTTTTTAAAAAAAATGGACTTGAGAATCAGGGTGGAGTTGGGCATGGGAGCCAATGAAGCAGAGAGATGGCATTTGGCCTGTGCCACAGTTTATTCAGGTGGTGCAAATAACAGAATAACAGAGCAGGAACGGACCTTGGTGATCTTCTAGTACTCCAACTCCCTGCTCAAGTAAGAGAATCTATACCATTTCAGAGCAATGATTATCCATTGGGTATGTCTAGAGAAGGGAAGGACTAGGAGTGACATGATAGCAGTCTTCCAATATTTGAAGGACTGCCACCAGGGGAGAGGGAGTCAAGCTATTCTCCAAAGCACCAGAAGGCAGGACAAGAAGCAATGGATGGAAACTAACCAAGGAAAGGAGCAACCTGGAACTAAGGAGGAATTTCTTAACAGCAAGAACAATTAACTAGTGGAATGACTTCCCTTCAGAAGTTGTGGGTGCCTGATCTAAATCTAAAATAACCTGAACTAAAATCTGGAGAAACTTAAAATCTGAAATAACTTGAACTACATGTCAACAGTCCGACTAGAAACCCAACAAAAGTAAGCACACTCGGGAACTTTGTACTTCCAAAAGCAAAACTTTATTGGCTACACCATTTCGGTACTGAACAATCAAAACCAGCTCTGGTTTTTCCCGCGCAGGGCTTGCATGGTTAAACAATAGCTTCTCCTTCTCCCCATCCCTGGATGTCTACATTGCCCAATAAGGAATCATCCTTTTATTCTGAGAATAGTTCATTTCTTTGTCAGACACCTAGAGAAATGGCCTTGGTGGTTCCTTGCTTCTTAGGGTCTGTCCCTTTCTAAATATGCCTCAAAGTTAAATATAAATGGTGCCTTTCCCAGCATTACTTAGAGATTCTTGTTTCTTATCATATTTTCTCTACAATTCAGACTGGGCCTCAGTAGGATAATGTAGCATTTGGGGAAAAAGATGCAAGCCAAGAGACCAGCCCCAGAAGCCAAGATGGAGAAGATCTCCACGGCCACCATGGATTTCCCTTTGGTGCTCAGGTAGGTGGGGAGGAATGAGATCCAAACACTGCAAAAGACCAGCATGCTGAAAGTAATGAATTTGGCTTCGTTAAAGCTGTCGGGCAATTTCCTAGCCATAAAGGCGATGATAAAACTGATAAAGGCCAGGAAACCCAGGTAGGCCAGGACAGCATAAAACATCAAAGCTGAGCCTTCATTACATTCCAAGATGGCCTCACCTACCAAGGAATGGAAGTCCATGTTGGGAAATGGTGGGGAGGTTACCAGCCAGGTGGCACAAAGAACTGCTTGGACCAGGGGACAGGCTAAGACAATGGAGTTTGTCAGTGGTTTTCCTAAGAGTTTCCTTGTCTTGTTCCCAGGCTTGGTGGCCATGAAGGCCAGAACCACCATGACAGTTTTTGCCAAGACAGAGGAAACCGCGAGGGAAAAGAGAATGGCAAAGGCAGTTTGTCGGAAGAGACAGGTGAGCTTCCCGGGTTGACCAATGAAGAGGAAGGAGCAGAGGAAGCAGAGCAGGAGGGAGACCAGGAGGATGTAGGTGAGATCTTGGTTGTTGGCCTTGACAATCGGTGTGTCACGATGTTTAAGGAAAATTGCCAGCACTGCCGATGTGATCACGGAGAGAAAAAGAGTGAGAGACACTAATGTGTATCCCAGGGTCTCTTGATAGGAAAGGAAGTGGATCTTCTTGGCAATGCAGTGGTCCTTGTCCTTGTTGGGATATTGGTCTTCTGGGCAGGGGTCACAGTGAGCGGCATCTGTAATCAAGAGTCAGTGTGCATTTCATGGTGAATCAACAAAGGCAAATCATCCATCTATATTGACGATGCTGGGAATAAGTTAGCCAGAAAAACGGATCTGTTCTCTGGCCCAACCTCTCTGCTTTATTCTTCAAATCCACTCATTCAAACTTTTTTTGCAGGGAAGGATTAATAGACATAGATTGATGGATCTGCTCTGTCTCCAAGAGGTCTATGAATTTCCTGGGAGATCGAATGTTCTGATAGAAGAGTCCTTAATAAAAACTAAAGCTTGAATCTCACATCCCATTTTTTTACAAAAAGATTGACAGCTGGTTGATGGGATGTAAAAGTAGGAGTAGAAAGCCTAGTAGGGAGCCTATGAATTGTGCCCCAAAAGTATCCCATATTACATTTCTGAGGAGCATGAAAAGTGGCCTGTGGGATAGTACAGTTTAAATTCATGAACTGAGAGGGGCAGCTGAAAAGTTTGAAGATGTTGAAGCATGTAAAGCATCCTATCCAAACTGATGCCAAAATTAACACTGAATGACTTCCTGGAAGATCAACATTAGAAGTGTGCCCTACCTGTCTGATTAGAGATGGTCCCTTCTGGACAAGGGGCACATTGGTAGCAGCAGACCGGCTCTCCCTCCGGAACTCTCCTCCTCTCTCCTGCCTGGCACCGTTTCATGCCACACCTGGCAAAGGGCACCTTCTGAAAGAGAAAAGAGAAATATTTGAGATGGCCGAAGTAATAAATACACTTCATTTGTCTATTTCTACATTTCTGTTTCCATCTTTGAAGGTCTTCATAAGAAATGGTTTACCGGGGCCAGCTAGGAGAATAAGCTCCAGGGGGATTCAGGCCATTGGCAATCCTGACCCATTAATGGATGCCGGAGATTGGAACTGGGACCTCAGAATGCAAAGGAAGGCTTGTGACATTAAAAAAAGCTACAGATTTTCTGAAAGAAAGAATCGTGAGGATCCAACTGAATGGGAATGGTCCATGGAAATCATTCTTGCCTGCTTTAATGGTGGCCTGGAAATACTAAAAGGAAATACTAAAAAGGGCAAGAGATGATGGATAGATATAGAATGCATCTTAATATGGGATTTGTTTTATCAAAGACTAAAAATAGAGCTAGACACTAATAATTGGGAAAATGTTATTATACATACTGTTATACTGTTATAGAAGCTATTATAGTTAATATGTATATGTTAGAAGTTAAGACTACTATTGTGGAGGCTTAAAAAGTAAAAAATAAGGGATGATAGATAGATACATAATACCAGGGGTGAAATGCTCCCGGTTCGGACCGGATCGCCTGATCCGATAGCGATGGTGTCAGGTGGTTCGGAGAACCGGTAGCAAAAAATCCCTGCACCCCTCCCCCATGCTCAGCTGAGCTGCGCAATCATCAGAGGCTGTTTTTTTTTACTTTTAAAAGCTTTTTTTCTACAACCTCTTCGGCCGAAAAAATGCTTTTAAAAGTAAAAAAAAAAAAAAGCCTCTGATGATCGCGTGGCTCAGCTGGGATCGTCAGAGGCTTCTGAAAGCATTTTTTTCTGCAACCTCTTTGGCCGAAGAGGCTGTAGGAAAAAAAATGCCTTTAAAAGACTCTGGTGATCCCAGCTGAGTTGCCTCTTAAGGTTGTAGAAAAAATGCTTTTAAAAGTAGAAAAAAAAAAGTTGGCCACGCCCACCCAGTCACATTACCCCCACCTCCACCACCAAGCCACGCCCACAGAACCGGTAGTAACAAATTTTAGATTTCACCCCTGCATAATACCTCTTAATATGGGAATCATATACACTACTTTGTATACTGCTACAAAATAGAATACATTATAATTGCAATGTATATGTAAATCTGAGAAGCTGAAAGAGTATTATTATGTATATTTAATTAATACTATCATTGTTACCAAGATTTTGTATAAAGTAAATGGACCCAGACAATGTACTGTTCACTAAGTATCTTGAAGGAAAATCAATAAAAGTAAAGGAAATCTGTGTTTCAAACAGGAGTTCTTCCCCATCCTGCCCTCAACGTGGACTTTTCAGAAATAAAATCTCAAATGTGTTAAGCTTGAATGCTGTTTTTACATCAAATTCCTGAAATATTTTCTGACTCAAGGGAGCTGTTTTCCAGTTAGAAGGAAGTTCTGTCCCTCCAGGGGGAGAATGAAGCCTTCCCTGAATTTATAAGATTTCCTTTCAACTCACCTTTGTGGCCCAGGTGATCCCATCAGAGTTAATGGTGAAATGCTGGCCTGGGGGAGCCCTGGGATCTATTTGCCCAACCTTCATGGGGACAAATGATAGATTGGGGAGGAAAAGCCAGTTGAGAAGATCATAACGAGCAGACCCCAGTCCGTTTTCTGAGAAGGAGACTTCCTCTCCAGCACTGTTGTTGAACTGGACCTTCCTCAGATGGGGAAGAATCTGAAAGAGACCTACAGACATCAGAGTCAGTGCCAGAAAGCCAAATGACCATCATCCTGAGAAGTGGGATTGTAACTGAGAAGCTAGAGAATTTCCCTTGTTGCAGATCTGAGCATCAAGGAGTAACATCAAATACTGAACTCCATTCCCAAAATAACAACACATTCTCTTGATCATTGGACACTTGTATCATGGCTTCTTCAATTCCAGTTTTGCTAGACTGATTCCTACTGTGCATACACAGTTTCTAATGCAACACCTCACATTTCATTGCCTAGTTTTGCTCCTGTAATATTGGCCGTATCATCATCGTCTTTTAACGACCCCATAGTCCCTTGCGGGGTGGAGCCTGGGCAACTGAGTGGAGCTGAGTGTTTTAATGGCCGGATGCCCTTCCTGACACCAATGTGGAGTTTTGTTCAGCAGATATATTCTCATTGTGCCCAGAGAGAGAAATATCTGCCTCTACCTAGGATTGAACTCACAGCCTCCTGATTGTGAGGTGAGAGCTCCACCTCTAGGCCACTGCACCACTCTAATATTTGGCTATATACACATTCAATTTTTATTTTGGCCCAAGGCCTCATCAATGACCTATTCATTTTAAGGATGATTCATTTCTATCACAACCTCACACAATTCCACTGGTTTCTCCAGCAGATAGTCAAAGAGAGCAGAAGGAAGGAAGCAGATCTTTCCGTGTGTGTGTGTGTGTGTGTGTGTGTGTGTGTGTGTGTGTGTGTGTGTAAGGAAGTGCCTGCCTGGTTTGTCACTTCACTTTCCAGAAGTCTAACGTTTAGCTGAAAGGTCAGCTCTAGCAATAGCACTTAGACTTATATCCTGCTTCACAGTGCCCTCTCTAAGCACTTTACAGAGTCGGCCTCTTGCCCCCAACAATCTGGGTCCTCATTTTACCGACCTGGGAAGGATGGAAGGTTTAGTCAACCTTGAGCTGGTCAAGATCGAACTCCTGGCCATGGGCAGAGTCAGACTGCAATGCTGCATTCTAACCACTGGGCCTGTCAGGGTTGCAACAAACTCCTCATCAAACAACCAAAGTCCACTCCAATTCAGTCTATTCAAAGCCTTTAATAGAGAAGTCATATTGGTACGCCTGGGAAAACCCGAATCTGAACTCCCACATTTTCCCAACCCCAAAACTAAACTCAATCCCTGCCCCTGTCCACCCTCAGCCTGTCACATGCACCAATCAGACCCCTGGTCCCCAAGTCACCCAGAGTTCAGGAACGCCTGTCCAGGTGCTCGCAAGTGTCCTTGGTCCCACGGGGATGGAATGTTGTTGTGACTATCTTCAGGCTTCACCCCCTTCTCCCTCCCCCCATTTCCAAAGCAGCCCTGAGGATCAAAATGGATCCGGGGCTGACAGGGCCACCACTGCTCCTGAAAGCCAAAAGAAGTGGAGTAGGAGGTCTGGAAATTGCGGAGGGCTCCTTGGTGGAAAGGGATGCTGTCATGGGAGCTTTGAGAAGTGGATGAGAAGTGCCTTGGCAAGCAGAAGAGAGAGAGGTCAATGAGGCCCAGTGGCAATGGGTCAGTTCTGGTGAGGAACAGCTGTTGTCCCCGCTTGATCCATGGATGAGGAGAGCAGAACGCTGAGAGGCACAGTGGGGATCAGCGAGGTGACTCCCTAAGAAGCAGCCTTGTTCTTCCTAATGAAAAGCTCTGGTTAGGAAAGATTTAAGTCAGTAGAGCGGGTTATCATTTTTCAGTATGGCAACTTTGGATTTTTGCTCCTACTTGGCATCTTCCTCCCATGCCATGAAACATGACTTTCCTTCAAGGAGGACTTTGCTGCCTCGACTTCCTTCCTGGGACTCAAATTTTCTTGGGGAGACCTGCTCCTCGCTCTATTTGGAACCATTCAGCCACACTGTTGATGTCCTTTCTGATTTGCTACTTTCGGTTCTCTCTTCTCTGCTTCACCCTTTAGCCTCACTACTTTGCAGCTAGCTGGCTGCTTCCGTGTTGCCTGTGCTTCAGATGTCAGTGTCAGACCTGCCCCAACTTGGTCCGTTAGCAAAGAAAAACCCTCAACTCCATGGTGTAGTGAAAGGTATACTTTTACTAAAAGCCAAGTGGACTACAGTAAAGCAAAGCCAGAACTAAGTATTTGTGTGCCAAATTTCTTCCGTTAATTTTTCCCCAGTCAGACCGTTCCCAGTTCTTCCCCTTTGCAGACCCATTCTGTCCAATAAACTTTTAATAAATTGTTTTGGGTGGTTAGTTGGTGAGCTGTCAGCCATTTATTTATTTATTTATTTATTTTATTTTATTTCTATACCGCCCTACTCCCGAAGGACTCAGGGCAGTGCACAGCCAAACAATAAAACACATACATACAAAATTTAAAAGTAGAATTAAAATCAAATTAAATAGTTTTGGCCCAGACAAATTAAAACCCCAAACTATTTAAAACCAATTTTAAAATTTGAATATATAAAATACTAAAAGATATTAAAAAATTAAAAATCTTTTATAAAAGAGGGAGAAAATTAAGTCAAGCCCACCTGGTGAAATGATAAGGTCTTTAGAGCGCGGCGGAAGGTGCGCAGATCCGGGATCCTCTGTATCTCTGGGAGGAGCTCGTTCCAGATAGTAGGTGCCCCCACAGAGAAGGCTCTCCCCCTGGGGGCCTCCAGCTGGCATTGTTTGGCCGACGGCACCCGGAGGAGCCCCTCTCTATGGGAGCGTACCGGCCGGTGGGAGGCTATTGGTGGTAGTAAGCAGTCCCGCAAGTACCCAGGTCCTGAGCCATGGAGCGCTTTAAAGGTGGTAACCAAAACCTTGAAGCGCACCCGAAAGACCACCGGGAGCCAGTGCAGCTCGCGCAGGAGGGGTGTTACATGGGAACGCCATGTCGCTCCCATTACCACCTGCGCGGCCGCACTCTGCGCCAGTTGGAGCCCCCGGGTGCTCCTCAAGGGGAGCCCCATGTAGAGAGCATTACAGTAGTCCAGGCGGGAGGTGACGAGGGCATGAGTGACTGTCTGTAAGGAGTCCCGATCCAGAAAGGGATGCAACTGGCGGATCAGGCGAACCTGATGAAAAATCCTCCTGGTCACAGCTGTCAAGTGTTCTTCTAAAGACAGCCGTGAATCCAGGAAGACGCCCAAGTTGCGCGCCCTCTCCGTGGGGGCCAATGATTCACCCCCAATAGTCAGTGATGGCACCAACTGACTATATCGGGACGTCGGAAACCACAGCCACTCAGTCTTGGATGGGTTGAGCCTGAGCCTATTCCTCCCCATCCAGATCCGCATGGCCTCCAGGCACCGGGACATCACTTCAAGGGCATCGTTGGGGTGGTCTGGGGTGGAGATGTACAGCTGGGTGTCGTCAGCGTACTGGTGGTACTTCACCCCAAAACCATGGATGATCTTGCCCAGCGGCTTCACATAAATGTTGAACAGAAGGGGTGAGAGGACCGATCCTTGCGGCACCCCACATACAAGGGGCCTCGGGGTCGACCTCTGCCCCCCTGTCAACACAGACTGCGAGAAAGGAGGAGAACCACTGCAACACAGTGCCTCCCACCCCTAACTCTTCCAACCGGTGCAGCATGATACCATGGTCGATGGTATCAAAAGCCACTGAGACAGCCGTTACATTCTGACCTCCATAATTTAACCTTGACTTGTTGTCTGTGGAAGGTACGATGATGTGTCTGTTTTTACTCTCCTATCCAGTTCTGTCCCCCTCCCCTTTAGTCTATGGCAGACTGGCAGCTAACTTTTGTGAACCTCAGTGTCAGATGGCAGTTCTGACAATTAGACTGCCTCTATTAGCCATGCTCCATTGGGAAACTCCTGTTGCCCTTGTTGGGAGACATCTGGTCACTGAGGTCACTATTTTTGGGCTCCTACAAACTGTGAGAAATTGACCTGGGGTTTTGGGAAATGCTCCGGGAGAGTTAGTTCGGAAATAAAATTACTAACTCCCTCATTAGTGCTACTTGCATGAACTGGGAGAGGACAGGTGGGTTTGGAAGCAGTACTGCTTCAGACAGGAAGGCAGTGCAGAAAGTGGTGAGGACAGCAGAAAAAAATCATTGGTAGTTCACTTCCTCCTATCTAGGATAGAGCACATATGTGATGCTTGAGCAGCACAGGATTGTCTGGGACCCTACACATCCTCTACATGAATTTCTGGGTTTTCTTTGAAGACATTTCGCTTCTCATCCAAGAAGGATGAGGATTTGGAAGGATTTGAATGGAAGTGGATAGTAGGGAATGAAATCCTTCCATTCCCCACCATCCAGTCAGAGCTGAAGAAGCTTCTTGGATGAGAAGCAAAACGTCTTCAAAGAAAACACCAGAAAGTCCAGTTGCCTTTGAAAAAAAAGCACCTTTGGATGACAAAGAATCTCCATAGACATATATATGTATGGTGCAGGTATATATTTATGTCTGTATATAGCATGTGTATATGTGTATGTGTTTGGGTAGATGTACACTTTCTCTCGAGAGCAGGGAACTGTCACTGCGTTATTTTATTTACCAGCTGAGCCAATTATTTCTGGACTATCTGACTTTCCGTACCTTGCCAAGAATTGTTATCAAAAGCTACTATGCATGTCCATCCACCCACATTCCTTCCCACACTTTTTCCTTTGTTCTCTTGCCGGAGGTCCGGCTGGACCGGCAGGAGATCTCGCTTGCCAAAATGTAACAATTTATCTTTCTTAGTTAGTGAGGCATTTTATTTTCTTTATAACAAATAAATGAGTTTTATTAGAAACTTTTCTTCGCGTTTCTTTTTCAGAATATTGCAAACAAGGAGGAGCCACGATTCATCTCCTCTAATTAAACCAGGGTCATTAGTCCCAGAGCCAAACATGGGATTAATAAATGCCCTGACAGGAACAGAATTTCTTTTTTAATGTGGGCCGATGTGTTAGCAGTGAAAAAAAATGACAATAAAGTTATCTTAGCTATCTATCTTTGCAAATATGTCCACTAAGACTTCACCTGACCTGCGTGTTTTGCGTATCTTGCACAAAAACACCCAGATTGTCATCTTGCTCTGGGCTGAAACCTCCTTCCTGGAATGGTTACCCCTGAACTCAGGCAATTACTGAAGACCTTTCAAGTATTTAGAGGAAAATCTTTCCTCTGTGGATCTTATGGACAACTGGTTTGGTTTACTTCTCCTTTCTCCTTCTACCATAAAGATATTAATCCATAATTCAAGAAATGCCTATGGGAAGCTTCCTCTCTAAGGATGTGTGGACTAGATAAGAACTCACAGAAATTACCTGCCATGGCTGGACATTGGAGACCCTCTTTCCAAGCCTCATCATGGTTGGTTGCACTCTTGATCCATATATTGCATGCAATGCATGTGCTACAGCATAAATGGCATTGTAGATGTTGTAACTTTTACCTTCCATACTTGTTTCAAAAATGTAAGAAGGCAGATTCTGCAAATTCTCCTTTCCTGTACATGGTTTTATCCTCTTTGGAAGCCTTTTGCCTGGATTATGGATCTTGCAGCCAAACAACATTTCCCAACACAGCGGGAGAAAGACGTCCCCTTGTGGCTTCAAGGGGTCTAAAGACAGGAGGAAACGACTGAATTCTGAGACATCCCCAGTGTGGGGCCTAAAATGCAAAGCCCCATGGAAGGGCTTTACTGCGTTCAATATGTCTTTGTTCCTCGCCACACTAAGTTTCCAATGGGAAGTTAAGATCCAAACTTTCCAGAATGATGTCTTTCTGAAATGTTCATGGACATTCATTGCCATCTGTACATTTGCAATACTATTGGGGTCTCCAAACAGAACAATCACTTCAGCTTTTGCCCACTTATCCACAATATGAAGTAATTTCAATATTGTAAGATCAAGAAAATTTGGTTTCAATAGTTCAGTGAAAGCCAAACAGATCTCCTTCTCCTTGAGCATTGATGCCAGAGATGAGATGAAACGTGCTCCACTGTCATCTTCAGGGCCCACCAGCCCAATCCAGTTCCATTGGAAGTAGAGGAGAAGTTGGACTAAACCCTCATACTGAAAAAATTCATTGGGATTAATTTGGAAGAAGGAAGGATAAACTCTTCTGTCTCCCTGAGAGAACTCAAAGCCAACACCAAGCTGGAGAAAATGAGATTCTTGATAGATTAACATTTTATGGTGACTTTAGGGGCCACCATGACGTGGATTATTGTCCCACCAGTTAGGCTGTCTCACTTTGAGTGGCAAGCTTAATTTTCTTGCCTTCTTAGGAACAGCCACTGTTTATTAGGACACAATTCATCAACTGTATACAGAGAATAGGCTGCTCTGAATGGATGGTTACATTTTTATGAAGAATAGGTTAGGAAGGAAGGAATTTCCCTTGGAAAGTACAGCATGTCACAATTATCTCATTGCCTAATACTTTTGGGTCAATAAGAACATATCTTGACACATAAAATATAAAAACAAATTCAACTATAGTGCAGATTCTCTAGGTCATATACTGCTCATTTGCCCCCCAAAACACATTAGTCTATCATCTTGGGCTTCTGTGTGTGCTTCTGCTGTTTGTCTACCTCATATTGTCTCTTACCTGTGGGACCTTGAAGAGGTTGAAGATGGAGGCCATCAGCCTTGAGGATTTGGGGTTGAGACCTCCGATGACAGAGAGAAGAGGATCCTTCATGTCACATTTGTAACCTGGAACCATTTGGCCCCGGGTGGAGAGCAGGGAGAGGCTGATTGTGGAAATTGTCTCCTCAGTCTGAGAATTGCTATAGATGTGGAAGCCAAGAGTGATGTTGGGGAGGAGAAGCAGATCCTTGTTGACCTCTCTGACTGCAAACACCAAGACTATGAACTGCTGGTAGTTCTTGAGTATCATTCTACAGTAAGAAAATCATTGGGGAAATTTTAAGGAAAGCTTGTGTGTGTTGATGGAGTTTATCCTGCTTTTTCCCCCAATGTCCTTTGTAATTTGATTACAACAATCAACAAGTGAAAATTGAGTTTTCCACCATTTTGTAAGTCAACTTCTTCACTTGCAGAATTTCTAATGTGCTGCCCCTCCTCACTTTTTTGGTGGTTTATTTGCTTCCTGATCAAGAATTCTCCATCTGGAAAGATTTTATGAGTTTTATGAGTTTGGTTCTTTATTGAGAAAAGCACAAAGATCTGAACTAGGCAAGGACATGGCAAACGTCACTAGAACAAGTATTTCTGAAAAGAGTCCCTGAATGTAAAGCAAAGCAAATAATTTTTTTACATCTTTCCCCTCTGGGTGAAACTTACAAAATTTTCTCCAGAAGTAGAGATGGGTCTTTCTGAAAGGATTGGAAGTAGAATTTAAGTGCAGTTCCCAGGGCAACATTCCCACCAATGATGAGATCACCAGGCCTGTAAAAGTCTCTCGTAGTGTGTAAAGGGTTGGTCAACACACATCCAGTTTGCACCCTCTTAGCAATAGTTGGAGGCAGGAGCCAGAAGAGCAGCAGCAGCAGGAGGAGGAGAGGCAGCCCAGCCATTCTTCTCCCCTCCCCTCCTAGATCAGAAATCCATGTTTGTGGAGAAGATGAATTTGTAGGTAGCACTTGAAATATCACCAGGACTTTCTTTAAAGTCTGTGCCACTTGGATGCCCCCAGTACAAATTTATGTCAACCATGCTTCCCCTTACCTCTGTTTGGGCTGTGACCAAAGAGGAAAATAAGCCGAGCTGAATCTCAGCAAACTCCGGAGTTCACTCTTTGCAAGACGAGGCAAGGTGACATGTCCTGTCCCCACCGGGAGAACTCTGAGCATATAATCAAAACAGGTTTTTATCTCGGAAGACTTTTGTAGGTAGAAATCCATAGGGGACACATTAGAAATTACTGTTTTTCTGGTAGTCGCATGGAATTTTCCTATTGGCTTAGCAATAGTTACCGTATTTTTCGGAGTATAAGACGCACTTACCTTTTTTGGTTGTTGTTTTTTTAAAAAAGGTTTTTTTTATTTTTTTAGACAATCACACATACAAACATACAATGTATTTTCCCTCTAATCTTAATCAAATTCAATTTTTCCCTTCTATTCTATATTATACCCTTTCCCATTGTCATCTATTTTTATATCCATCCTCACATTGGTTAATTATTTAATATTACAATTCAATACAAATTCAACATTTTTATATAAATCAATTAGTTATAACTATCTTTTTTGTATATTGATCAATATGAACATGAATATTCCAATTATTTCCATGCAATCCAATTTCTTACAAATCAATTAATTATATTTACCAGTAATAATAAACCAAATAAATTCCCCCATATATTCCTCCAAACCACAACATAACCATTTCTGCTTTCAACACAATATACAATTAATAGTATCTCAATTATTACAATTCCCTAGTTAAATAGAGCTTTTTTTCTTTTGTGTTTTAAAATCTTGAACTCTCCTCTTTTGCCCTAAATTTCCCATTGTGTGCACCTACCTTTTTTGGTGAGGAAAAAGAAATCTCTCTCTGCCTCATTTTGTCACGTTGCAGGAAAGAACCTGCTTTACTTTCAGTTTCATTTTTTCAGCATAGCTAGGGAAAAAAAATCTGCTCCAGCACTCTTTGCAACAAGCAGGAGAGCCCTGCGCAAAACAGCTGAGAGCAAATCAGCTGAGAGTTGGGAGGCCAATCTAATCAACTTATGCTAATTAACCTATGCTGAAGCTGGAAGGGCTGTTTTTTCTTGCTGTTTGCTTGCAAGAAGGTAACTGCTGCGAGGCACAGGCCAAAGGGTGAGGGCCAGTGGGTGGGCAGGGCTACATTCGGTGTATAAGACGCACCTAAATTTTCACCCCCTTTTGGGGGGTAAAAAGGTGAGTCTTATACTCCAAAAAATACTGTACTCTTCATACACCAGATGGAGAAAAATGAGTTTGGGTCTCCCGTTGTTAATCCACAGATCAGATGCAGTTGAGGTGAAGTCTGGTATTTGAGTTGTGTGAAACTGAGCATGTGCACACAAGATGGAGTTTGGCCTCTTCCAAAGTTTGTTTGGATACTATAAGTGTTTGTGGGGCCTGGTGTCATATGGCAATCGGTTCTACCTAGTAAGTCTGGGCAATCATAACAATGCTTGGATGGAATAAGCGGTGGTGAGGCCTCTCCTCAAGAAGCCGTCCCTGGATCCGGCAATATTGGCCAACTATCATCCTGTCTCCAACGTTCGCTTCCTGGCGAAGGTTGTTGAGAGTGTGGTCGCGCGACAGTTTCCACAATTCTTGGAGGAAACATCCTATCTAGATCCGTTCCAGTCGGGTTTCAGGCCTGGACACAGCACGGAAACGGCATTGGTCGCGTTGGTTGATGATCTCTGGAGGGCTCGGGACAGGGGTTGTTCCTCTGTTCTGGTCCTGTTAGACCTCTCAGCGGCTTTTGATACCATCGACCATGGTATCATGCTGCACCGGTTGGAAGAGTTGGGGATGGGGGGCACCGTATTACGGTGGTTCTCCTCCTTTCTCTCCGACCGGTCGCAGTTCGTGTTGGCAGGGGGGCAGAGGTCGACCTCAAGGCCTCTTATATGTGGAGTGCCTCAGGGGTCGGTCCTCTCGCCCCTCCTGTTCAACATTTATGTGAAGCTGCTGGGCGAGATCATCCGTGGCTTTGGGGTGAGATACCACCAGTACGCTGATGACACCCAGCTGTACATCTCCACCCCAGGCCACCCCAACGATGCCCTTGAAGTGATGTCCCAGTGCCTGGAGGCTGTGCGGATCTGGATGGGGAGGAACAGGCTCAGGCTCAACCCTTCCAAGACTGAGTGGCTGTGGCTCCCGGCATCCCGATATAGTCAGTTGACTCCATCACTGACTATTGGGGACGAGTCGTTGGCCCCCACAGAAAGGGCTCGCAATCTGGGAGTCCTCCTGGATAGGCAGCTGTCCTTGGAGGAACATCTGATGGCTGTAACCAGGGGGACCTTTTGTCAGGTTCGCCTGATCCGCCAGTTGCGGCCCTTTCTTGATCGGGATTCCCTGTGCACAGTCACTCATGCCCTCGTCACCTCTCGCCTTGACTACTGCAACGCTCTCTACATGGGGCTCCCCTTGAGGAGCACCCAGAGGCTTCAACTGGTCCAGAATGCAGCAGCGCAGGTAGTGACGGGAGCAGCCTGGCGCTCCCATGTAACACCGCTCCTGCGCGAGCTGCACTGGCTCCCAGTGGTCTTCCAGGTGCGCTTCAAGGTGTTGGTTATCACCTTTAAAGCGCTCCATGGCATAGGGCCTAGCTATCTTCGAGACCGCTTGCTGCCACCGACGATATCCCATCGACCCGTGCGCTCCCACAGAGAGGGCCTCCTCGGGGTGCCATCAGCCAAACAGTGCAGGCTGGTGACCCCCAGGGGGAGGGCCTTCTCTGTGGGGGCACCTACCCTCTGGAATCAGCTGCCCCCTGAGATAAGGAGAATCCAAGACCTCAGTGCCTTCCGTCGCGCCCTTAAAACCTTCCTTTTCCAGCAAGCCGGGCTGGCCTAATTTTTTTAAGTGTTTTTAAGTGTTTTGTTTATTGTTTTTAATTAATGGGGCCAAATTTATATATGTATATTTTAACTGTATTTTAATATTTGTATTTGATGTTTTTACTTGGCTGTTCACCGCCCTGAGTCCTCAGGGAGAAGGGCGGTATACAAATTCAAAATAAAATAAATAAAATAAAAATAAATAAATAAGTGGTTTATATAGACCAACATGGCAGGTGATAAAATTAGACACTAATTTCTCCCATAGAATTTAAAAATCAGCAGGAAGATCTCTCAAGGTGTTAGGCAAATTTAAACTCTACAGGTGGCTTATCTAACAACTTGTTAGAATCAGAAAGATTTTTCTTCTGTGGTTTTCTTGTCAAATATGTCTTCAGAACTGTGAACTGGTGTGGGAAGGATCCCATCACCCATGGTAAACCTCTGGACTGGCCTAGTAATAAGACTGGGTACATGTGCAATGTCTCCCCCAGACCATTTCCCAGAGAGCTCTCTACTGGTCAGCTTGGGCGGGGGAGGATAAACCGGTTCCTGGCACATCAGGAGCTGAGTTAATCGAAGGCTCCAAGTAGCTGTTTGGAAGAGACTTGGCTGAAGCTCCAGCTGGGAAAAGCATACAGTTGCAGGTGGTCAGTGAAGAGGAGGAGGAACTGCCTTCTGTACCTGATCCAAGAACACATACTGTAGGGCAGAGAAAAGGCAGGAGCAGAGAAGGTCAGCCAGACTACTTGAGAGGAGAAAACCTTGCCCTCCTTGATGGGCTGTACCGGAAGCTGGCTATTTAGCACAGCAGACAGAGAGAGGCGCTGCTGGGAACAAAGTGTTTGCTTCCTAGTTGTGTGTTTTCTGGTCCTTCTGATTCCTGCCTCACTTTGGATTGACACCATGCCTTGACTTGAATCGTGTCTCAGAAATGCTGGACTTTTCTTGACTCGTGAGCTTTCCAGTGTTGTGGATTTAAACTTTCCTGGTGGATTTATTTTGTTTGAGAAACTTTCAGGTGCTTTGTGGATTCTTTAGCCATTCCTCTGTGGACTAACATTGGGCTGCTTGTGGCTGGATTTAATTGGTCTGGATTTTTTGGTGTAGGGAATTTCTGGGGCATATTAATACTCACTAAACAACAGTTACATCTGTGTATGTGTGAGCAGGGTAGCACAACATGGTGTTATGTGATTCTCCCCATTCTCTGAAGAACTTTCTATGCTGTGATGGTTGGAAGAAAGACATTGAGCTCAAACCTCTGAATTTTAAGGTATCTCAGTGAGGCCTTCTCATTTCAAGGTCAAGTATCATCCTTACACTGATGAATTATACAACTATGAATTGATCAAGGAATGCTATCGAGGTTTTGTCCTAGTGCCTGAATTCTATTGGATGGAGGAAGATTTCCAGTTTTAATGTTAGCAAAATCAAGCAGCTGTGGATGATTGGTCCTTCCAGTACTGAAGACTCTCCTTCTTTGGTCCTGCATGACTTGCTTAGGACTGCTGTATAATGTGGGTGTCTCCTTGGATTCTCATCTCCTCCTCAAAAAGCAGAAGTTAGTTATGGTAGCTGTTTGTAAAGCTTCAGTTTGCTCAAAAGGATGAGATTGAGTTGGGGAGAGTCTGAATGCCCAAAGATCAAAGATGTATAAGAGCAAGCTTTCTTTCTACACAGGGCACAGGGACTCAGTGTGGACAACTGGAAGACATGGGGTGAAAATGGCTGCATGATTGTTACGGATAGCAGGTTTATTTCCTTATTTATTCATTTCCTTATTAAATCAATTTCTATATCTGGAGTTGAAGCTGATGGAGATTGAGGGAGCAGCTTCATTGGCTTTGGAGGAAAATGGGGAGGGGCAGGCCAAATTAGGCCAGCTGGTAGGCAGGGAGGAATAGGGACAGGATGACCAAGAGAAGCTAAGCAATGAACATGAGAGACAGAGCTCAGGCGATGAGCAAGGACCGCCCCCTCCTGATCCTCAAGCACAGAGAGTGGAGAGAAGGCGGGAACAGTGCAGGCTGACCTGACTACTTGGGAGGAGAGCGCCCTTTGACCCTTTCCACAAGACACACCTGGCGACTGAGACTTTTTTTTTAAAAAAAGTAGTTTTTATTGAATATAAATATTAAAAAAGACATACGTAACATGTACACAACAAACATTTATACAACATATACACAAAAAGAGTATAATTTCTTCTTAAGCATTTTTTCAGAGTGACATTCTACAATTCTACTTATGATATATTCCTTCACCTCTCCTTAATCTAATAACATTTTTTATTATATATATATATATATATATATTTAAATCGGTAAATATTTCCCCCTATATTTT